CAATAATTGCAATCCAGGCATATTGTTCAGCATAGTATTTGGCACATTGTAAAGCCCCCTCTCCCCGAAAATTTTAGCTGTTATCATTATCACCTTTTATTATTGTTGAATATAAAGCACTAGCCTGGGTGCAACGAGGGATCAAGAAAATAGAGGAGACCCAGTGGGAAGCTTCAGGTACTACTGTGCAGGTAAAGACATCAAGAATTCCATCTACAAATGGCTGAGCTTTAGTGGGATGCCATAAGTTATGCAGGTTCTTGTCAAACTTTAAAACTTCTTTTGCTTTGGGGCGCCTGGGTGGCTCAGTGGGTTAAGCCGCTGCCTTCAGCTCAGGTCATGATCTCAGGGTCCTGGGATCGAGCCCCGCATCGGGCTCCTTGCTCAGTGGGGAGCCTGCTTCTCTCTCTGCCTCTGCCTGCCTCTCTGCCTGCTTGTGCTCTCTCTCTCTGTCAAATAAATAAATAAATAAAATCTTAATAAATAAATAAATAAAACTTCTTTTGCTTCATCTTTTTGTCTCCCTTGTTCAAGGGGAACTGGTCAGAGACTATTCATTGGCCCCTACCCTGCCTCTTGTTTTCTCCCCAAGCCAAGATTTTTGGGCCAAGAATAGAGAAATTGTGTTCCAAGTCTGTAGTTCTCAGAGGCCCTAGTTTTGTTGGGGCCTGTGCATCAGAAGGATCCAGGTGTATCAATTATGTTGTCCCTGCCTGTATGCCACCTCTTCAATCACTTGTGTCCCCTTGTTTGTGAAGCACAACAGAGTGTGCTTTCAGAAGGCGCCTTTTGTCTTCTTAGGGTCTAAAAATATTTGCATGTAAATGTTGGGAATCCAGACAGTCTCCTTAAGATCTAACACTTTGCATGGGGAGGCATACAGACCACCGGGGGCATTTGCAAAGTAGATTTATACCATTGCACCTTGTGTCCCGGCCTCATAGCATTGCAGTGACATCTGAGAAGGAGAGAGTGTGACATTGATCAAGGGAGAGCATAAATAACTACATTTCAAAATGAATACTAATTGCGTAATGACAGTTTCCAAACTATTAGCCTACTTTACAAAAAAAGTTAATTCATCACAAGCCCAGAGCTGGCTGTTTCTTATGTGTGGTGCTGCCAGTTGGCAGGCACCGCTTTGCAAGAGGATTGGGGGAAATGAGGGTTATTGTTGTGGAAGCTCACTTGGCCTTTTGTGAGGAGGGTACAAACTGCATCACTCTCTCAAGCCCCTGCTGTTCAGCGTTCAAGAGTGGACACCAGGATCCTGCACGCCTTCAGGGGGAGTTGCTTACTTTTCCTAGAGGTAAAATGGCCCAGTGCCGAGACTTGGGGAGGAGCCTTGAGTTTGTAGCCCCTTGGAGGAAAGTGTTCTGGGAAGATGGAGGTGAACAGCACGGAGGAGCTGAACCTCGCTTGGTGTGTGCCCGCCCCACAAGCTGGGAAATCCTGGGTCCCGGGGAGAGGGCATGGCCACAAGGAGCCTGGCCTTCTCTGGAATGAACTGGGCATGCTACTTCGGGAAGGCAATGCCACGGCTCCTGAAGGCCTGTGTTCCCTCATCTGTAAAATGGGGGGGAGTGGGCTGGGTTACCATGAAAGCCCCCTCCAGTTCAGGGAGAATACCAGTGTCTGTCTCTTCCTTTAAGCTGAGTGTCCCCCAGAAGAAAGACAATTTGCTTGAAAAAGTGGAGTGACATGATGGGACTGGTTCCCCTGTCATGGCCATCTTTTTACTGTAGGAATTGTAAACGAGTTTTTCTTCCATGCCAAACTGATGGGATCTTATGTGAAAATACTCTGAAGGAAAATGAAAAAGTGCCTCTGAAGAAGAGGAGCTATCTGAGGCCAGGGTTCATTCTCCTTGGGACATCCTATTGTATTGAAAGTGGGAGGAAGCATGAGAAAAGCCCCCAAGAAGAATCATCTAGATCAGCATTCTTGGAAAGAAGGGTGTGGGGTGAGGATCATGTTATGAAATCATTTGCCCTCCACTCAAGGTTTGAGAACCCTAGTTTATGTACCACTTTGTACTGACTCCCCCACCTCCACCAATAGGAGGCCCTGGGATTCAAATTAGACGAAGTTGAATTTACCCATCAGGAGTTTCGGGGGAATAACTCTATTATTGTACACCATTATTTTACTTTCAGGTTTTCACCATCCATAGAGTCACACTGGGACTGAATGGTTGGGTGGTAAAACAGTATATCCATATGTGTTTAGAGCATGCCCAATTTTAGGTATAACACCCCACGAACAGAATTTGGGCAAAAGTCTGATTTCTTTTGAAAACAACTCAGGTCAAACTCTATTCCTTTATTTTTTTACACATTTACAGTAATTCTTCTCTTTTTAAAAAAGTCACTTTTCATACCTATTTCAAGGGAGAATCCTTGTATGCTCAGCTGAAGAACTACTTTTAGTCCCTTCCTTCCTTGCCTTTTTTTTTTCCTCATAAGTACTTGTTGTCTCAATGATGGCTGAGATTTTGATTTCTTAGGCACTTCCAGTTTAGATTGTTCTGACTAGATTTGTTTGAAACAAGATCCAGGTCACATAAATCTAGTTTTAATCAGAAAGTCTTTATTCCCCCCCCCCAAATACTTCATATCTTGTTTTATTTGACTATGAAAGTTACTATTGTGAAAGCTCCCTGTCATATGTTCTTCAATAAGAAACAACTTTAGAAAGAGCACATCCAAAATTATTACTGTATAGTGCCAAACCTCGTACTCCTCCTGAAATTGTGATTTTTACAGTTCAGCCCAAACCTCCATCTATAAAGACTCTATCTCAGATAAACATATTGGCTGATAGCTAGTTTCTAGAGATTTTATCAAAATAATGTCCTTATATTAGAACAAATTCATTCCTGATCTATGCCTTAGGGATATTTGAAATGCACCTTAAGAGGAATGCTCTTTGTGGGATTATTTTAAAAAACCTCTCCCTTTTATTTTTTTAATTTTTTTATTTTTTTAAATATTTTATTTATTTGACAGAGAGAGATCACAAGTATGCGGAGAGGCAGGCAAAGAGAGAGAGAGAGAGAGAGAGAGAGAGAGAGGAGGAAGCAGGCTCCCCACCGAGCAGAGAGCCCGATGTGGAGCCCGATGCGGGGCTCGATCCCAGGACCCTGAGATCACGACCCGAGCCGAAGGCAGAGGCTCAACTCACTGAGCCACCCAGGTGCCCCAAAACCTCTCCCTTTTAAAACCGACATTGGGGGAACCTATTATCTGCAGAAATGTTTTTCATATTTCCTCTGCTCACATCCCACCCCCCTTCTGGCACCTCAAAGTAGATATAATTTTTAAAATAGTACATACAATTCTTGAAGACCCCATCTACTTAAGGGAAAGGATGTTCCCTTTTGTGTTTTTGGTTTTTTCAGGCAGCCTGAGGGAAAACATGTTCTATGTTTGTGCCAGACTGAATTTGAGAGTTAGCGGCAGAATTTGTGTCCTGGGTCCTCACTGTTTGACTTCGAATCTTAGTGTGGCAGGGCTAGATGGGGTCCTGGAACTTTATTTGTACAGACTCTGTATTTCCAAGAGGACTTAAAGCACTCAGGGACCTGATGTTTAATGAGAAGGAAAATGGTCAACAATGGGAGAGAATGGTTGTTTCAAAACTAGCCAGTAAAGATGGTAATCGGCATGCTGATGCATTTCTGGATGTTCCTCCCTCCCAATGACCTCCTCACTGCAGAAGCCCCACATTAGATACAACTGTTTTGCTGATCTTTGGCATCCCTATGTGACGGATTGGAAGAGAGGATTGAAAAGTATTGGACAACACTGCAAAAAATCATAGGCTTTCCCAAGATAATAAAGCTTCCCTTCAAACTAGGAACATATAACCTCTGTGAAACTCATCTTTGAGGTTTCCCCCTCCCCAACCCACTTTCTGTGAGAGGATTCTTATGCCCCTGTGACACCCTTAAGTCACTGTAGTTATTTCATAGGATGATTGTGGTCAGAAAATGACCGTACATTGATCAAAAGCAGAAATCTTACCGAAAAGTGATGTTTTAAGAAGAGTGGGCCTGGCTTCATCCTCTCCCTCCCATTTTAGGTTTTGTTTTCATCCCTTGGCAGCTTTGCATGCAGACAGCATGAAAAAGCAAAGGTGTGCCTCTTTTCATGAGTGCTAATTCTAGAACATTGTCCAGGGGACCATTTCTTGGATGTTGAAGGGGACAAAATATACCTAAAGGTGGGACTGTCTGCCTCTGAGCTGTGGGGAAACTACAGTAATAGGCTTTCTTGGTTGGGGGGTGGGGATGAGAAAACAGAGAAGAGCTCCTTTCTGACCTTCTTGGAGCCCCTTCTTGTGTCTGAACCAGAATGATTCCTATTTCCCCATCACTTCCACAAAATGGAGAGCAGTGAACAGAATTCAGAATTTGGCTGTCACGTTCACTTAACGGCCCTGTGAGTAACCTCTTAGGAAGTTTGTCTCACAGCCCGTGGCTGTTGAGCTTCTTGGCATGAATGGAACACGGACCTGCCTGGAAACACACTGCCCTCTCATCAGAGACTCACCCCTTCCCAAATTGCACAGGGATGTGCTCCAAATGGGGCAGGGTGGGGATGAGCATTGTTGAGGATGGGGCATGTGGAAGATTGTTTGATCCTATAAACCAGCATGGGCACTTGGAAAACTGTGGTGTGCATGGCCTCTTGATGGTGACTCAGGACTCAGGGGTATTATGTTACGAAAGGTGGCCTCTTTGATATTCTGTTGGAATGCCATTCCCTTAGTAATTTGCATGTATACCCCATTTATCACATTAGGCACTAAAAACCAATAGGTTATTTATTTTCAACTTTATTGAAAATACAACATGCCCTATCAAGAACAAAAGGCACTGATTTAGTTCAGTTACTCAATTCATTTAACAGCTATTTGAAGAATTACTTGATGTGCTATGCACAATTTATATCTGGCAGAAAAAAATACTTTGGAAAAATTGTCATAAAGACCACACTTCAGAAAATGGGCCCTGCGAAATGACCATTGATGACAGGGGCCCATGCCATGCCTACAGGGGCCAGAGCAAAGGGAGGCAAAAGTGGAGGTGGCATTGGCAGCATGGGTGGCCCGGGGGGCAGAGGTAGCCCGGGGAGCACAGGTGGTGGTGGAGGCCCAGGAGGCATGAGCCCCCGAGGCACCAGAGGAACATATCTCCACCCCGGTTCTAGAACAGGGATAGCATAGGGCCCTTCAAAGATCACCCCCACAGGAGGGCCCAAAGCAATGGGGGCCAGATTTCTAAACAGGGCCCTCTGGTGTCTTCTCCACTTGGCTCTTCTGTTCTGAAACCAGACCTTCAATCAGAGGGAAAAAAAAGTATTGGTTTAGTACTTGAACTGTCAATGTCACAATAGAAACACACACAACATGCAATGCTGCCATTGAACGTTTAAATGAGGGGGGCGTGGCTGAGTTATGTCCTTATTACTAAAATAACTTGGGAAAGCAAACCACATACCTCCCTTCAGCTAATCCTTAGTGAGTCATGGCTAGTCCAGACTTGGGCACATTGATTTGTCTCCCTTGCTGTTTTTAATATTCTTTAATGTTTATCCCTCCCAGGTTTTGGATGTTAAGTCTAAGTGATAATGTGCACTGGCTCCCTGACGTTAATGCCTATGCCTGGCAACAGGGTAAAGAGACATTGGCTCATCAGCTGTCCAGCTGCTCCCACTCCCTCCTCACCAGGGGAAGTGTCACGTTGGCTATGGGGGAGGCTGAACATGGTATAAAAGTGGGCCTGACGTAAAGTCATGCTGATGGGAACCACCCCTTTTACGAAAAACTCTTCAGTCTGAAGTTACTAATCCATAGGAGCACATTGCAGTTTTAGACAGAAAAGTTTTCTTCAGTGACGTTTAAGGGATCATTCTTCTAAGCCTTGTGAGAATTAAACAAAAAAGTATGTCAAAGGAGGCCTGATTATGGGGTTTCAGGGACGGCTGGGACGTGAGTTGCTGAAGCCCCTCACATTGCCTTGCCATTTTAGCCTTTAGTGTTAAGGAAAGTTTAACCTAACCGAATCCAAATTCAATAAACTGAAAATTTTTTCCCCAGATAAGAGACTGGGTACCGCATTGTCGTGACTATCAATTTTGCATGGTCCCATCTACCTTACCCTCCAAACCTCCCTGGGCTCAGAAGGTCCGCTCATTCGGCTCTAGCTACTTCTAGGATTCTGGACAGAAGCTGCGGTGACCCACAGGGGCGGGGCACCTTAGGTCCTGCCAGCTCCACTCCTTAACTAGGGGGGCTCCAATCCCATCACTTATTCCTAAAGCCAGAAGGTCCAATTATGCATTTAAGGAAGATGTTCAACAACAATGGGAGTAGGTAGGGCTCACAAAAGAGGCTCCTCCCTGAGTGTTTGCCAACTATTAACAAACAAACAGATGAAAAAGTTGTCAGTTAGACTTTACTGTCCTCTTGGCATACTAGTTAATCAGGTTTACATTGTATTTAATCATTTTGGAAGTTCCCAAACTGCAGTATTTTAATTGAGACAAAGGGCCTTTTCTCTCTCTGGGCAGCTACCTTTTCTCTTTCCCATCTTAGGATTTGGGGTCCTGCTGGATGAATATACTCTGAAAAAGTCAGTGTAGTAGAATTGATTTTGGAGAGATTCTAATGTATCAGTGGTGAAATCTCCCTAAACCTAAATAAAGCCCACATCTGGCAAATTTTGCTATGGGCCAGTATTAGGTCCATATTCACAATACTGGTTTCATAAAAGAGATCACCTATATTTGCAAAAGGCTGGGGGGAAGCATCTTTTATAAAGTTTCTTGGAGGAAATTCATGTTGCAAAGCTTGAAAATATGTGAGAGCATAGTCTTCTTCCCTACTTGGATTTTCTGGCTCATTTTCCCTTCAGAAATCCACTGAAAGGACGACATAAACCCAGGGAGGGGGAAAAGCAACTCAGCAAACCTCTTTATTTTCTCTGAGATTACTTTGCCTGCCTGAGAAAGTAGAAGACTTGTCCTATTTCTTTGATGAACCTATGATTTTCTATGACCTCAGATAGTCACCTATTTGATCCCATGACCAACAAATTAATAATGACTTCCTGAAAAGTGTTTTAAATTAACATAAATGGGGCGCCTGGGTGGCTCAGTTGGTTAAAAGCATCTGCCTTTGGCTCAGGTCATGATCCCAGGATCCTGGGATCAAGCCCCACATTGGACTCCCTGCTCCAGGGGAGCCTGCTTCTCCCTCTCCTTCTGCTTGCTGCTCCCCATGCTTGTGCACTTTTTCTCTGTCAAATAAATAAATAAATAAAATCTTTAAAAAATAAATTAATACAAGTTAGAATCTGGCCTGAAATGAGAACACTCTCATAATCAGATTCCAGAAAACCCACCTTTTCAAAGTATTACTACCCAAAAAAAGGGAAAAAATTCTTAAGAGTGTTAAAGATTCCTCATGACAATATTCATTTATACATTTGGTAGCTTCATAAAGTTGAATTTGTGTGACATCTGCAATGCATATATTTGAATGTATACAATACGTAACTAAACTTTCACCTCTTTTTAGGTCCATGGAACTTTATTAAAATTGGTTCCCTTTTTTGGTTCCATTCTTCAAGACAATTTTCCTTTCCCCATTACTACCATAATCCTAGTATTTTAACAATGTTTCAGGCGGACATCAAAGTCTTCCAAAAAATTAAAAATTTAAGGCTGTCACTCTCTATGCTGCTTTACAAAACCCTTAAAAAATAGCAGTAGGAAGTAGGATCAGGTACTTGGGACTTTAAAGCTACCCTCCCACCCCAGTTTCAGTTTACTAAACATATATTAGTTACTCATGCCAAGTGTTCTCCGTGTGAATAACTCCTTCACCCCAATGTCTGAATATTTATAAATTTATTCATTTAGCCAAGAGCTTACACCTGGATTTAAATATTTCAAGTAATTTAGTATGGTTAAACCTTCTTTTAACCTAGATCTTCAGTGCATTAATTTGTATATTTCGCACGTGGGACTGAGCCCCAACATGATTCTACATAGAAATATTCCTTTAGGGAGGACTAACATCCTTCCTGAAAGATACCAGTGTTAAAAGGAGGGGAACTTTATTGGGGAAAACAGTGTGTTTGATTTTTTTTTCCATTAGGAAATCATATTTCCGCTGGTAGTGGGAAATTTCCAGAAGCTCCAGCTTACCTATCCCATTTCCCATTCCCAAGGCACCCAATGTTCAAAACTTATTTGTGAAACATGGAAACAAACCACATCAACTTCAGAATGTCCAGGACAAAATCTCAAGTATGTTTTAGAATGGCTGCCCTGTACCAAGAGCGCTTTTAAGATTTACTGACCTGCACTCTGGCTTCAGTCAAATTCAGACGTACAGCAATCTCTTCTCTGTGGGAGGAAAATTGCAAATGTTTAGTATTTGGAGTTGTGGATAAAATGAAATATATCATGTACATTATTTCTATGCCCCCTCCCAGTGCAGTTTTCTGTAATACAGCTTGAGGCTTGCTTTAAGGAGTTTTCCCTCGGACAACTTATCTCTATTAAATAAGATAGAAAAAGGGAACATATATGAAAGTTCCTGGTATTATGTCTGTTGACCACGACACTATCAATTTTTCTGTTTGTGGAACGGCAGAGAACAACCCTGGAAATCTTTTCTTGGGAAAAGATTTATTTATTTATTTATTTATTTTCCTGTGAAAATAAATAAAACGCCAAAAGCCTTTAAAGTGGAGTTCTGAACCAGGCAGAGTACTTCCAGGGTTTATTGTAAAGGGAGAGGGGGAACTCTCAAGGAGGAACTCCAAACCGTTGGCCAAGCGCTCGAGGGAGATTCTTCTTTTGCTCTTTGGTGGGCAAAGCCTGAATACATCAGAACCAGAAAAAGTGCCGCTAATACCTCACAGATACACGTTCTGATCCTCCCCCCAGCCGCCCCGCATTCTTGCTGGGCCAGAATAGGCCTGCCCCTCCGTACACTACTGCGATCCGCGATCCCACCACAAGGGTTCCTTGTCCGCTGGCTTTTTAAACGCTCGAAACTCTGCCGCCAGGAAATAGCGCTCCACGTGGCAGAGCCGAGACTAAGGTGAGGCGAACTCGCCTCGTGCGCAAAATTTTAAATGCAGGAAAAAACTGAGCAATCACGATGAATAGTCTAATGCAATATTAAAAATACAAAAATTAACGCAAAAAACTCACGATGAACAAAATACCAAAATTTTAAATAAAAGCGGGATCAACCTGCCCTCCCTTACTTGCTTCACCCTTTCACCCTAGTTCCGCTACTGTCTCACTGCCCCAACCTCTGAGGGCAAGGACGGACCCTGGCGCCCTCGAACCCCCTAAGTGGCTTTTGGCTCAAGAGAGGAGGAAAGGGGTCCCGGGAGAAAGCCTAAGATTCTGAGGCCCCTGGAGAAGTGCGCGCATGAGGAACAAGCCACTTACCTCGCGAACACGTCGGGGTACTGGGTGCGATGGAAAATGCCCTCCAGCTCCTGCAGCTGCAGCTGGGTGAACGCGGTGCGGTAGCGGCGCTGCTTCCTCTCCGCGACCAGTGGCCCCTGCAGGGCCGGGGGGGGCGGCTCCTCCTGCTGTTGCGGGGGCTCCAAGCCGCCGCCAAAGCCTCCCTCCTGGTTTTCCTCGTTCGGGGAGCTCCGCTCTCCCGCGCCAACGCTGTTTGCCGCCGCCCCTTCGCGCTCAGGTTTGGACCGTGTATCCTCCCCTCCTCTCATTAGAACCAACGAAGTTAAGGTTGGCTTCGCATCTGGGAAAGGAAAAAAGCAAAAAAAGAGGCCGGAGCGTTGGAGCCCACGCTGCGTGGGCTGAGGAGGTAAGGGATTGAGATGGAAGATAGAGGGCGATAGCCGCGCCGCGGCCCGTCCACCCGACCCTCCCAGGGAAGTTCCTCTCCTGCAGTTTGCCAAAGCACCTGTCCCCGTCTAGGCACTGACCATACTGTTCATCCTCCACCTCGACCCCCAGGCTGCGGTAGCCGGCGTCGTAGGGGCTGCAACCGAAATTACGCTGCATGTCCTCAGTGCTGTCGATGAAGCCTAGCGCATCTACAAATCCTTCGCTAGGGTCGGTGGCGAGAGCTGCGACTAACTGCCGGGTGGGTGCTCTCCTAACGCCGGGACCTGATCTGGCGCTGAAACTGAGACTTGCGCGCCTTATATAGGGGGTACGTTCAAAGTGTACGCGCTCGCGTCGGTTAGACGCCCTCTATTAGCGTTTGCATTACTTCGGGTTGGTGTCGGTGGGACCTGACGGGGGCGCACTGGCGGTCGGGGCGCGTAAGTAAAATAGGGCGAGTGTTTGCAAGAATAGGCATGCTTGTGTGGGAAACTGAGACTCCAAATCGCAGTTTAACTGACTTCTCCCAGCTAGGACGAAATATCTGATTGGAAGATGGGGCTGTACTGGATCGGGAAAGTAGTTTTGGAGGGTGGGGAGGGGCAAGACTTCACTCTAGATCCAGGAGTTCGTGGAGGAATGTTTGTAACATATTCCTCCGCGCAACGTTCTATGCTCCCCAGACCGCAAAGGAAGCGGTGTCGCTTGCTTCCTCAGGGAGGAAAAGATGGAGATATAGGGCTGCAGAAAGTGCGAAGCCCTCAGCGACCCACGTACGCTAAAGCGAAGTTAGTCTACCCTGCGTGGGGCTCTGAGCACTCCTCTCCCCTCCTAGAACTTGGTGACTAATGGATAGGATTATTTAGTTCTGTTCTATTTGTACCCAAAGTCCGAGTATCGGGCTAGTGATTAAGACGAAAGAATTAGCTGTTTGCACTGGGTGTTTGCGATCAGATCCCCGGTGTATTCCGGGAGAGGTGATTTGTAGTCAGGTTTACTGAGCAGTCCGGGTGGTCACATGCGCGCTGCGAGAAACCCAACCTGCCTCTTGAGAAAGCTCCAAGGACTTTAGATTTTTAGTAATGAACCCACGTCGGAGTGCAAGTGTAGAAACCTGCCAAGTGCTTAATGCATCCAAGAATGCTGTGCTGCATGGGCTCCTTCCTTCAGTTCTGGCACGTGCAAAGTTTGCTGTGCTTCTTAATGCAGCCTTGCTCTGCAAGGCGCCGAGAGCGCGCCTTATTCCAGGTCCAGTATTGCAGCAGGCGCCTAAAGCGCGCCTTATTCCCGGGACAGTGTTGCAAACCTGGGATGAGTTCCCGCTTTTCCCACTACTTCTCCCCTTCCCTTTTCTACAGTTATCTTCCTGAGCTGGTTTTCTCCACGAATGTGCTAAATAAAAAAGGACTGGGCCACGATAGAAGGCTCTATGGTTCTTCCTCCAAGAAGTGTTTGCAGGGGCTCCAGCACATGTTAATGTCCTTTATATTTAAGAATAACTTATAATAGTGGGCCCTCTGCTTGGCACTGTACACAATTTATCCTACTTTTTACCTTTACAACCACCATTATTATCATCCCCATTTTTTTTTTTTTTTAAACAGAAAACCGAGCCCTCAGGAAGCCAGGTACCATGCCCATCCATGGTCATACCAGCAAGTTTGACTAGAAAGTCCGTGTACTTTTCACCTTATTACTTATTACTTTATTTAAAAGGGTATATAATGGGGAGGTTCCAGACAGGAGTGGAGGGGGAAGGTATTTTGGGGAAGAAGATTATTGGGCAGAGTCTTAAGAAATCCTGAGTGCCAGGGGTCTCCTACTCCTCCTGCTCTGCTTCAGGCCTCTTTCTATTTGCTGAGTCTCCCGAAGCCAGAAGTCTGGGATTCAGGAGTGCGGGGTTTTCCAGCCTGTGCCTTCACTTTTTCTCAAAACTGAGAGGACACTGATGGGAACAGGGTGCTACATGCATTGGCTGCTGAGCTAGTCACTTGCAGACACAGGAGGGAGAGGTGAGGAGACCCACCCTGCATTGGGGCCACATTAGGACTTTTCTGGACCCTAGGTGTTTTTGCCTTATTGGGCCTTTTCCTCCATATATATGTGTGTGTGCACACACACACACACACACACACATAAAATGTAAATATATAAATATATATTGTAATATATAATATAAATGTATTTTATAATATATAAAGAGATATAAATATATTTCAGATATATAAATATATATTTCATATATATTTAATATATATTTATATATATTTCACAACTATGTTGGTATAAAGATAAATGTAATGTGCCTTAGGTTATATTAATTTTTTCTTTTGATTTAAAAAGAAATTAAAACATTTTCCTGGGCTCCTAAAAGTATGGTGGATGGTGGGTACTGTGACTGCTGTGACTAATGGAGAAATCCCCCTGCCTCATGTTCCCAGAGGTGGCAGGTGGGAAACCAGCTAATAGGTGGTTAGCTGACCAGTTCATTTTCAAAAAGAGGTCAAGGGATGGCAACTCCATAGCCCCTGACTGACTTTAATCTAGATATTTCTTCCTCAGTCTGGCTCTTGCTGAGTTCTGCTGGCCTCCCTCTCTTTGGGCCAGATACCTGGTGAACGATTTTGGCTTGGGATGAGTTATTACACAAGAGATCTATACAGGTTATAATCATGGGTGTGTAGTAGCTTACTTAGTATATTGGTAACAGCTTAGGTGTGTTCTCTCGCATCTTACATTTCCATGGTTTACTCCAGCATTTTCTAAACCTTATTCACGTGCCTGTTGCTCATTTTGCCATATCTGGATACTGGCCATGGTAGTATTTGATTAACGTGTTTACTTAAATTGATCAACTTTTTGAAAACCTTAAATACCTAATTGGACCTCGTGCTAGGCAAAAATAGCTATGACTTCAGGGGTTTTATATACCAGATTTATGGGAGGTAGAATGTGACAGTAGTTGAGAGCAGGAACCCTGGAACCAGAATGCTGGTGTCTGAATCCTAGGTTTGATTGTTACTTGTTAGCTAGATAACCTAGTGAGTTGCTTATTCTTGTGCCTTTGTTTTTCTCATCTGCAAAATGGGAATAACTAATAATACCTACTTCATGGGGTTGTTGTGAGGATTAGTGGAAATGATAACAGTAGCTAACACTTAGCTAATTCTGGCTATGTGGCAAGCACTGTTCAAAGTGCTTTCTATATATTAACACATCTAATTCTCATAGCAACCCTATGGAGGTAGATATTGCTGTTATCTTTGTTTTATGCATAATGTTATTGAATCACAGGTTAAGTAACTTGTCTAAAGGTACCTAGCTGGGAAGGTTTTAGAACTTGGATTTGAAATTTCTTAAAATGATGTTTCATAGAGAGAACATATTTATCAATAATGGTACTATTATGATTTTTTTAAAAAATAAATATACTATTCAGTCATTTCTAGTATATTCAGTGCTGTGCAACTATCACCATTGTCTAATTCCAGAACATTTTCATCACTCTGTAAAGAAAGTCGGTACCCATTAGCAGTATTTCCCAGTCCTTACCTCCGTGCAGCCCCTGATAAACACTAATGTTTATCTATCTCTATGGATTTTCCTTTCTGGGTATTTCATACAAATGGAGTCATGCAATTTGTGACCATTTGTGTCTGGCTTCTTTCACTTAGCATCGTGCTTTTGAGGGTCATGCATCTGTAGCATGTCAGTACCTCATTCCTTTTTATGGCTGAATAATATTCTGTTCTACAGATAGACTACATTTTGTGTATTCATCAGTTGATGGACATTTGAGTTCTTTCCACCTTCTAGTCATTATGTATAGTGCTGCCACTATTGCTATGAACATTTGTGTACAAGTTTTGTTTGAATATGAGTTTCCAGGGGTTTTTTTTTTTTGATATGTATGTAGGAGTGGAGTTACTAGGTCATATGGTAATTCTATGTGTAACTTTTTGAGGAGCCATCAAAGTGTTTTCTATAGCAGTTGCACCTTTGTACATTCCTACCGGTAGTGTAGGAGGGTTCCAATTTATCTACATCCTAGCCAACACTTGGTATGTTCTGCTTTTTTTTTTTTTTTAAGTTATAGCCATCCTTGTAAGTATGAAGTGGCATCATTGTGATTTTGGTTTGCATTTTTCTAATGACTACTGATATTGAGCACCTTTTAATTTGCTTATTAGCCATTTATATATTTTCTTTGGAGAAATAAATGACTGTTCATCTTATGCCCATTTATTAACTGTCTTTTTATTGTAGAGTTGTAAGAGTCTATATATTCTGAATACTAGACTCCTTATGGTGTGGTCCTTTCAGTTTTCTTTTAATTTTCTTGATAGCTCTCCTCGGTTTTGCAATCACAAGCCTGTCCTCATGTGGCTTTAGAGTTCGAATGAACACTGTAAGCACAGTCTAAATCATTCCTGGTAGAAAATCCAGACATGTGGCAAAAGCAAACTGAATTTTTTTCTGGAGGAGTCTACCCTTCACTGAGGCTTCAACAAGATTCTCACAGACAAAACCCAAACACACATTTTTTTTAAAAAGCTACCATCAGCACAAATAAACCAAAGATGTAGATCTCCAAAGACTTATTATCATGTGTAAACTATTTAAAAACATGTTTATCATGTTTAAATAAATGAGAGGATATAAAAACACAAGGGAGAAATAACCATATATAAAAAAGAAGCAAATAGAATTTCTAGAACAGGAACTAAAAGTAACATATTTTTTTCTTTTTTATAGGGGCAAAATACACATAATGTAAAATTTCCCATCTTAACCATTTTGAAGTGTGCAGTTCAGTGGCATTTAGTACATTCACAGTGCTGTGCAGTCATCACTACTATCTAGTTCCAGAACACTGTCATCACTCCGAAAGGGAACCAGTACCCATTAGGTGCTCACTCCCTAGTCCCACTTCCCCTAGCCTTGGCAACCATAAATCTATTGGCTGTCTGTATAGATTTGCCTATTTGGACATTTCATATAAAGGGAATAATACTATATGTGGCCTTTCGTGTCTGGCTTCTTTCACTCTGCATGATGTTGCCTAAATTCATCCATGTGGTGGCATGAATCAGGTCTTCATTCTTCTTACTTGGAGGCATCATATACTAGCCTCCAGAAGATAAGTGTCAGGATAATCTGGAGCTGGAGTCCCATAC